GCCGCTTTTTTCCGGCTCGGGGCTTTGCTGGAAAAAAGCGCCAGTCTAGACGGGATCTTTCGGAAAATAAAGCCTATTCCTGATTTTAAGAGGAATAAGGGACCTTTCGGAAAAGGCTTTATTTTCCGAAAGATCCCGTCTAGACTGGCGCTTTTTTCCGGCAAAGCCTCGAGCCGGAAAAAAGCGGCAGCCATGTTCATGCAAATGCACAGGGGAAAATTTAAATCCCCGCTGCATTTGCAATTCCGACTTGTCTCATCTGCATCCCTTTTCCGGAAAAGGGGTGCAGTGTAGACACAGCATATGTGTATATTGATGGGGTGATGTAGGGAAGTGGGTATTGCACCTGTTCTATGTGTGGTTATGCGCAGGGCTCGCTGAACCATGGCGAGTCCCGCTTGCCAGCCGCGCTGTCCGGCGATCTGCGCATGCGCAGATCGCCCAAACCCGGCTCTTCCGGGTTACAATCTACTCGCCACGGGTGAGTAGATTGTATTATTTGTCGAGCCCTGGTTATGCGGACTGTGATATCCAGGACTATTAATATGGCACCTTTCACAAGGCTAAACTCACACACAAAGTAGTATTAAGACCCAGTAGTATTAAGTACAATCAATCAATCAAAAACCATGAGCTAGTCTTGCATTTGGTTACCTGCTGGAGATTCTGCTGTACTTAAGCAAGTCAATTTATTATAGGCTAGCACTGAGGTTAATAAAGATCCACATTGGTGTGTCCACCTAACTGGCTAGTGTTTAGTCTGTGTACTGTGGCTTTTCTGGTCTGTGTGCCTTTCTTAACTTTTTCTATCTGACTTTCTTAGTTTCTATCACTCTAACAGTTTCATGGCATCCAACTTCTGTAAGCATTACCATTATGAGTGTGCTTTTGTTTTTTATTAGTAATGAAAAACTATTCTTCTAGCTTCTTTGTATGTCTAGGCCTCAGTGTGTCCTTTTTAAATCATAACTGTTATCCAGTTACCCAAGTTCCCTTGTATAATATGATGCACGGAACTAGGAATTCCTTTGTGTAGGACCTTCTTTACTCTCATTTGTGTTCAATTTTTCATGATGATTTATGTTCATGAGTGTGGATGGAGATTTTAGAGGCATTGTAAACACAGAGACACACCTGCAGGGCCAGCTCCTTGTTTCCACAGGGAAAATTGCACAGAAATGCTAGGATTATCTGTATTTTAACTCATGGAATTTGTATAGAATCAGTGGGGACATGTGATTCTTCCCCCCACCCCTTCCATCATTCCCATTCCTCTGGAATCAGTAAGGAGCATAGATCTGGGGGCCTCTGAAGCACTTTTGACCCATTTATTGTCTCTGCTGTTTAATAATTTTGTAATTATAATTTCAGTTTTCTCTTTCTTTTCTAGTCCCCAAAGTTCTGTTCCTGCTGGCCCATAAGTGGACAGTGAAGAGAATCACGTGCACAGTTCCACAAGAGTGAGTAGTAACATCCGTCTCTCCAGAGCTTGTTTCAGTCACTCACTGCTTGACCCTTCCCTCTCGGGGTTTCCTCACTGCACCTTTAGCAACTCACTGGTTAGAACTGTGTCTTACAGAGCAAGAGCAGGAACTTTTTCTGGGAACAGAAGAGGTGAAATATATAATATACAGACTGTGAGGGTAACACACTGAACCATTGTGTCTGAATTATTGATGTACACACAATGAGATCTTTTTGGGAAGTGGAAGAATACAAAATAGTCAGATGTAGCTGTAGTGAGATGGATTAGACGTATCTTAGGCCCCAAATTAACAGCAACGAAATCCATGTGGCCAGCTGTAGGATAGTTGGGCACCGGCACCATCACAGCAATTGAAAATAATGAGGAAAGGAGAGCTGGCAAGGTACGAGGCTGGATTTGCTGGTGGTGAGGTGCCAGTTGGGAGAAATTGCAAGAGCACTAACGCTGGAAAACTTTCAAAAACTAAATCTGTCTAAAATGTGATTCTTTTTTTCCTTGTCTTTCATAAAGACAGATGTAATAGACCTTTATTCCTGTTGGTGAGATAAGATGTGTCTTCCCTGAACCTTCCACTGTAATTTCCTTACATAACCTCAAAGTCTCTTCTGGAAGTAGTCCTTTCCTGTCTGAGGCTTTGTCAACACTAGAAAGTGTTTGCCAGTAGAAATATGCCAATAAGATAAGCCCTGTACTGGAGATGCTTTTTATATCAGTCAGTTAGTTCTTTTGCTAATAGATCATAAACCAGTTCTGTAAATTTCTTCATGCAATGCACTGTTAGCCTATGGAACTCCTTGCTAGAGGATGTTGTGAAGACAAGGACTTTAACAGGGTTCGGAAAAGAACTAGATACATTCGTAGAGGATTGATCCATCAATGGCATCCCTAGCCTTTGTTTGTCAGAAATTAAGAATGGGTGACAGGCAAGGGATCATTTGAAGAATGCTCATTCCCTCTGGAGCACCCGGCATTGACCACTGTCGGGGAACAGGATGCTGGGCTAGATGGACCTTTTGTCCTACCCATTCTGGCCATTCTTACATTCTTAAATGAAATAATCTACTCTGGGAAAAGCACTTTTTTGCTAGTATAACTGCATCTATACTAGCAGCTATGTTGGTTAGGAGTGTGATTCTTCATATATACACCCCGGTTCCTCCATATCCAAGTAGCTATGCAGTAGGGATGTTACATTTTGATTAGTCAGGTAATCAAGTAGTCGATGGAACTTCCATCGACTACTTGATTAGTTGATAAGGGGTGGTGGGGTGCTCGCTATCCCGTCTGTGCCTCTGCCTTAAATGTAGTAAACTGCTCGTGGTTCTTACATTTAAAAGGCAGAGGCCCAATGGGGAACCCAAGGTGAGTGTGGACTGCTTCAGTCCATGCTTGCGCTGTTTCCCCGCCCCCCCTCCCCTCGCAGAGATGGTGCTGGGTGGAACCAGCTTTTAAGCTGGCTCCCACAGCACCAGCTCCTTTTCTGCTCCCCCCCTCACCTCTGTATCAGAGGCAGCAAGGGAGGTGAAACGACTAATCATGTAGTGACTTGACTACCCAATAAGCTTATGCTTATTGGGTAGTCGACTAGTCACTTGCATCCCTACTGTGCAGTAAATGTTTTAAGTATAGCCCGGGCCTGAGCCTGACAGTATTTGTCAGGAGTGATTTTTCTGTCTTTCTGAGTCAGGATTCCTAATCTTTCACTCCCTCTTTCCTGCACTGAGCCTCTATGCCACCATGTTACTCTGCTGTAATTTTCTTGCGCAGGGGTGTGAAACTGCCCTCCCCCTGAGCACAGGAAGTTACAGTGCTGTGCAGCGCCACTGTAAATAGGCTCCCAGGGTGGGAGTTGCACTCCCAGCACTGTTAGCTACTCCCCTCGTGGAGGTGGTTTACCTAGAGCAGTGGTTTTTCAAACTTTTTTTCCTTAAGAACCAGTTGAAAAAATTGTTGATGCCCATGACCCAATATAACTTGATTAGAGTGTGGGCTCTCAGGTGGGGCTGAGGATGAGAGCTTTGGGGTGTAGGAGAGGATTCCAGCTTTGGGGGTCAAGGCTGCGGCAGCAGGGACTTACCTTGAGCAGCTCCCAGTCAGTGGTGCAGCAGGAGGTGCTAAGGCAGGCTTTCCGCCTCTCCTAGCACTGCAAACCATGCTGCGCCCCAGAAGCAGCCAGCAGCAGGTTCCTAGCCAATGGGAGCACAGAGTTAGTGCTCGGCAGTGCATGGAGCTCGGTTTGCTCTCTTCCTCCACCACCACGTAGGAACCAGGCCTGCTGCGCAGTCAGTCTGCTGTGCCAGGACAGGCAGGTAGCTGCTTTAGCACTTCAGCTGGTCACCTGCTCTCCTGCAGCAACAAGACCCAGTGTCAGACATTCCATAACAGTTAGAAAACCACTGACCTTAAACCACACTACCTCATTAAAGCAAGCTGGGCATTGTAGACAAAGCCTGTGTTTGCCAAGCATGTCTTCTTTGTGTCTTTGCATGTATTTTAACTCTTTCCCCACCCCCCCATGTAAATCCATTGACTCTGGGATTGCTCGGGTATAACTTGAAGCAGAATTTGCTGCTTTGTGTTTTGGTTTGTATGCATTCCATATTTAAAACATTGTTTTAAAGCAATTTAAAAAAGGTTTGGAAATAAACCATTTTAATTGGTCCTCCTTCTTCTCCAGGACATTATACCACTCTGTGCCTTTAAATATGGAAGCTGTAGAAATGACATCCTTGAAACGTGCTCATTCGGAGGACGATGTGGATAATGTGGATGAAATTAAAAGGCAAAAGTTCTCAGAAGAGTCTTCTAACACGAGAAACAATTCTGAGAAAAGTGTGCCTGAACAACCTAGCAAACTTTTGCTTGAAGACAAGAAAGATGACATAATCATGAATGAGGAAGGTGAGGAGGAAGATGATGAACTCGAGGGAAGTGATGAAGAAGGGGATTCCGAGAGCTTTGCGGATATGATGAAGCATGGACTAACAGAACTTGATGTTGGTATTACAAAGTTTGTCAGCTCTCACAAAGGCTTTTCTGGAATCTTAAAAGAGAGGTAACTTTTTATCTTGTAATCCTTTATACTTTAATTCTTTGTATTAGCACCTATTCTCCATTTTCCTTCTCTGTTTAATCTCGGAGTCAGACACTATCAGCTCTGGTACAACACTGACTTATCAAGATACAATAGGTTATCTTCTGGTGTGTTTCTCTGCGTTCCTTTCTAAAAACTATGGTTCTGAGAGAGCTTCAGTTCTTTCATGGTTGGTGCCTTCCTATAGTGCAGTGGTCCCCAACCTTTTGGGGCTGCCGGGCGCCCGGGGGCGGGGCCACTCACATGCCGGACACCCGGGGGCGGGACCACCCATACACCGCATGCCCGGTGCTGGCGCCACCCTTGCGCCGCACTCCCGTGGCTGGTGCCGCTCCTGTGCTGCACGCCCAGGGGTGGGGCTGCCCATATGCCACACGTCCAGGACCCGGCAGCACCCATATGCCGCGCGCCTGGGGCCAAAACAGCCCATGCGCTGCATGCCCGGGGCCGGCGCCGCTCCTGTGCCGCACGCCCAGGGGCGGGGACGCCCACAGGCCCAGGACCTGGCAGCGCCCATATGCCATGTGCCCGGGGCCGGAACAGCCCATGCACTGCATGCCCGGGGCCGGCTCCACTCCTCTGTCACGTGCCTAGGGGCCGGCACAGCCCATACGCTGTACACCTGGGGCCAGCGCCGCCCCTGTGCCGTACACCCAGGGCTGGCACAGTCCTTGCGCCGTGCACCTCGGGGGCGGGGCCGCACATACACTGCGTGCCCGGGGGCGGGGCCGGCCCTGATCACTCAGCGGGCACACAGAAATGGCCCGGCAGGCACCATGGCGCCCACGGGCACCGCGTTGGGGACCACTGCTATAGTGTTTGTTCTTCTGAGTGAAACTGAGAAATAGGACTCTAAGGCTATGTCTAGACTGCAAGCCTCTTTTGAAAGAGCCTCTTTCGAAAGAGAGCGTCTAGACTGCACGCGGAATTTTGAAAAAGCAAGCCGCTTTTTCGAAAGAAAGCACCCAGTGAGTCTGGATGCTCTCTTTCTAAAAAGCCTGTTTGCTTTCAAGAACGCCTTCTTTCGAAAGAGCACTTTTGAAAGAAGGCGTTCTTCCTCGTGGAATTAGGTTTACCACCGTCGAAAGAAAAGCCGCATTCTTTCGATTAATTTCGAAAGAACGCGGCTGCAGTCTAGACGCAGGTGAAGTTTTTTTGAAAAAAGGCTACTTTTTTCGAAAAAACCCCTGAGTCTGGACACAGCCCAAGGTAAGATAATTTTATATGAATTTGCAATACACTTTGCCAGCTATGTACAGAAAATACAATCTAGTTACAATATGCAGTATATTCCTTAGAAGTACTGCTAATGTATGTAAAAGATGTGACAAAATATTTATGATCCCAAAGTCAAACAAGTTTTTGAAAAAGTAAGTTAGTTGCTATGTGGTGATGGTCTAATGGTCCCTTCTAATGCTAAAATGTACAGATCTTGTCAATTATAAGTTTTATGTACAAAACCATGTTACACCTTGGTTCGGTGATGTGATGGGAGCCTCAAGGGTTAAAGCCGACTACCCAGTGAAAACTACTGGATGATGATGAAACAAATTATTTTTATTAAATGGAATGATTTTTTTTTATCAAAACTAACAATTAGCAAATGTTTTTTTTTTAAACTAGCAATTGCTTAATACTTTTACAGTGTAGAAAACCCTAAACTTAGCTGTACTTAACTAATTACAAACTTCTTTGATTACAATTCAACTATACCAAATCACTGTCTCTAATTTGCTTAACAAAAATACAAAACAAAGACAATATAATGATAATAAAAACTTTGTCTAAAGCCAGCTCCTCTATGGTTATTTTAGGGCAGCTGGTGGAGTTAGTCATAAATCTACTTTTACAACTTAACAACTCCGGGGCTTCTATTTCTAACACTTATATTTAACCTAAATACAACACTACTACACAACACAAAATTATACAATTTACACAGTGTGGTTAACAGAACTTAGATACGCTTTACAGAATTACACAATGAAATTAACACAATTTGACTATTAATTAAACCAATAACTGATACATTTAAGCAATACTTACAAATCCAGAAACGATAACAACACAAAGACACACTAGAACTCGAAGCATGCTCAGGACTCGTGCACCCCTATATTTGATTCGAAGGGTGGGGAGGCAGCCTCAGGGTGATCAGTCCTTTAGCAGGGCAAAAAAAAAAAAAGACACGTGCCCTCAAAAAAAAAACACACACAACACACCCACACACTTGTTTAAAACGAACGTAATCAAGGCCACCAGCTACATCAGTGGCTGGTTTTAGTTTGTAGTATGACAATACTGCCCTATAGGAATTTTTCGTGATGTATGCGTGATCCCCTCGTGGACAGGACCAGATGGGGCATAGTTAGTGTAAGACAATTGTGTTTTATTACCCTATGTTTACTTTTTCCCTTTGCCCCTAAGACTGGTCAAGCTACGGTCAAATGAGGCTTATCTGTAAGCACTATCTAGTCATGCTCACCTCCCTGTTTCTTGGTGCCTGTGAGTCCCAGAATGCCTATAAGATCAAATTCCATTCACAAAACTGCATTGTGCTGCCCATGCTCCTCTGAGTATCTGGGTTTTGTGTGATGGGCCTTGTGTGGCATGATGGGCTATACGCGAAGGCCGTGGACAGAAAAAGCCTGCTTTACAACAAACCAAAGAGCCTGAAAATAATTGAGGAGATCACAAATCGCACACTGCTTACATAATAAATTCCTTATTCTTATTTCATCACAACATAGCATTCTTAAATCTTATTTAAGATAAATACTGTCTTTCACCAGAAATCCCAAAATATAAATTCAAAATCTTTCTGAAGAAACAATGTACAAATTATTGTCCCAATCCAGCAAAGCACTTAAACATGTTTTGTCTAATTGGGGTGTATATTTGTATACACCAACACGTTTTGCAGTTTTTCCTATATGTACATAATTTTACTATAAATAGACACTGTTATGCACTTTTTTCTGAAACTGCAGATATAACATAACTAGACCCTTGCACAGATACAAAATTGATATCCACACCTGCAAAAATGATTTGCAGATATCTGCATCCACATATGCGGATGCTCACAAATATAAAGCGGATATGTGACTTTAATAAGCATATGTAACTTATGCATTTGTAATGTTTCCTTCACAATAGCATCTATGGGAAAATAATAAAGAAGGAGTTTTGCCAAACGAATGTTGCTTTATAGAGGTGTGATATGTGCTTGTGTGGATTTAGATGTAATGAAATAGAGAGATCTCACAGTGAAGCCTCATTTCCCCTCTGATTATGAAATGCTGAATGAAAGTTGACAACTTTTTCTGTCAGCTGCTTGTAAAATTCTCACTTTAGCAAAGCCAGGATAAGTTGTATTTACTAATGTGGAAAGGGACCTCTTTATGGTCCCTCTTCTGGCACCAATTTGCTGTCTTAAAAAAAAAAAAAAAGAAGACTGGATCAGAATCTGGGTTGTTACTTTGGTGAATATTCAGAAGGACTCTTACGGTAGTAGAATTATCTGGATTTCCACCTGCATAACTATGAACTGAAATCTGACACCATTTTTCCTGGGAATAGGATGATTTGAGCTCATATACAGCTAATACTGACAAATGTTTGTTGAAGTGGCAGAGTTAATGTACTAATTCATGAAATAGTAGTGCAGCAGAATCTTTAATTCTTATTAATGACTAGGAGTGTAAATGAATTTCTGAGCTCTGCAAACTAGCAAGTAATCAATTCAGAATGTTATATATAATATATACAATCTACTTTGCTTATTTATATGTGGAACCCAGTTAGCTACTTCTTATACTTGGTCCTGCTGTGAAGGTAGGGCACTGGACTCAATGACCTTTCAAGGTCCCTTCCAGTTCTAGGAGATAGGCAATCTCCATTAATATTTTTAATTTATTTTTTAAATATTTTTTATACTTATAAAAGTTAGAGTTCATTTTATTAAATGAGGAGGCCTCTATATCATGAAGACCCATAACAATGATCTGCTCTTATTGTTGGGAAACTGGGAGAGGCTGCTTGTTTCCATGTATGAATGATAGAAAGCAAACTATCCAGTTTCTATTGTATATAAAACTTCTTGGGTAAGTAGATAAAAATCAGGATATAGTTTACAATGGTGATCTGTAAAGGAAGACCCAAGCATTAACTCCCCCAACAGATTATGTCCACTTGTAATTTTTTAAGTGTTCCCCCCTTTTTTAAATTTATATATACTCTTTATCTCTCTCTGATGTCTTTGGCCAGGTCTATACTAGATGCTGGAAGGTCGGCTTAAGGTACGCAACTCCGGCTATGTAAATAACACTAAGGTGTTTTTCTTTTTTTCAAATCAGACAGGAGAAGACAAGAAGTAATGGGGTTTAAAGTGCAGCAAGAGAGTTTTAGATTAGACAATAGAAAAAACTTCTTTACTGTAAGTGTATTTAAGCACTTTACCTAGGATGGTTGTGGAATCTGTCACTGGAGGTTTTTAAGAACATCATCTGTCATGGATGGTCTCTAAATAATACTTTTAAGTCCTGCTTTGGTGCAAGAGCCTGAATTATGTAACTTGTTGAGGTCCTTTCTAGTCTTATGTTTCTAGGATTCTTTTTAAATACTAGTGGCTTTAACACTCAGGAATATCCCGACATTAACTAATCAGTATTTGTGCTTCTATGATGGGGGAAGAATGGGAGTGGAATAAATATAATTTTCAAACTGAGTTTCCAAATGATGATTAAAGATGATTCTGTCTAGTATTTAATGTGTCCTTTGGGTTAAATTCCTGGGGTGGAAGAAAGCTTTTTGGTAGATAATGGCTGAAGATTTAATCTAGAAACTGAATAAAGTCTATTGAAAAATATAGCTTACTGTTTATAGAAGCCTTTAGTTTTCCCTGTGTTTTTTAACCTCCAGTGTTTTTCTGTTAGATACTCAGACTTTGTCGTTCATGAAATAGGAAAAAATGGGTGCATAAGCCATTTAGATGACTTTTCTGTTCCAGTGGATGTTGAGGTAAATTTTGAGTAGCTTTCCATACTATACTTTTTTTTTTAATTAAAACACTCATGAAAACTTGTTCTGACTGGCTCTTGTGCGTTATTGTATTCTTTTGCATATATTAGGACACTTCAGAAGAAATATTTACAGTTTTGTCAAATGAAGACAAGCAGCACTTAGAAGAGCTCCAACTTTTTAAGAACAAAGAAACCAGTGTTGCCATAGAGGTAAAATGGTAAAACAATAAAAAGCATTTAGTTAATGTGTTCTTTTTTGGGAAGGAGATGGGTATGTGCAGGGAAAGGATGTAAGATAAATGTTAGTTATCGATGTAATTTGATCTTTATATTACAGTAGGCCATGCTAAAAAGTTGTAAATTTAGGACTTGATCATGCAAAGACAAATGTACACTGAACTGTGTGTGTGAGTACACACCTTGGTTTCACTTGCATAAAATATATTTTTATGAATTAATTATAGCAAGTAGGATATGTCCTTTGAATTATACCTGTTTTCTTAAGGTTGGTTTTTGAGCAGAAAAATGATTTTTTTGTGTTTTTAAAGCAAAAAGAAAAGTACATATGACCAAATTAAAACTGTTGTTATCAATTTTCTTTGTTAAATGTAGGTTATTGAAGACACTAAAGAAAAAAGAACTATTATCCACCAGGCTGTGAAGTCTTTGTTTCCTGGATTAGAGACAAAAACTGAGGACCGGGATGGGAAAAAATACATAGTTGCTTACCATGCTGCTGGGAAGAAAGCATTAGCAAGTGAGTTTGTTACTATCACCATCATTTCATGTTTATAGTTGAACTTCAATTTAAAAACAAAATGTTTAATTATAATCACGTAATTGCGGGGATGTTATAATTTGGATTTGGAGGCTGTTGCATAACTCTACTGATTCACCCAGTTATATTACTGCTAAATGACACAGGGCATCAGTTGGGTATACTAAAATACATCATTGTAGATTTCTTTGTTTTTTGTTTTTCCTTTTTCCTTCAAACCACTAATTAAGTAGTGAGTAGCAAAAGTAAAAGTGTTTTACTGGGATTATGGCATGAGAGGTATTAGGACCAGAAGAAGACTGAAAACAATCAGTCATCCTTTATAATAGCCCATAACTTATTGGAAAACTGTTCTGGTTCCCCCCCATATACTCCATCTTCAACATTCATTCGGGGTAGGACAAGAAGTAATGGGCTTAATCTTCAGCAAGGGTGATTTAGGTTAGGTATTAGAATAAGAATCTAATGATCCACGTAGTTAAGCTCTAGAATAGGCTTCTGAAGTAGGTTGTGGAAATCCCTAGTTCTTTATGTTGAGCCAAACTGTTCGTTAAAATGTCTGTCAGGAAGACTCTGGGTTGGTCCTGCCTCAACTCAGAGGGCTGGTCTTATTGGCCACACAAGGTCCCTTCTGGCCTACATTTCTATGATTCTGAGTGCCAAATAGACAACATAGAAGTTTTTGGTTTTTTAATTCTATAGTTACTGTTTAAATGTAGGCCATATGAACCTAATTGGATCCAAATTAAGTTGTCATCATTATGAAAACTATAAATTTCACATTTTCTCTGTACAGTGTTTAGCACAATGGGGGCTTGATCAGTGAGCAGGGTTGGTAGGCAGAGCAGTAATACAAATAATAATAAATTCAGTGAGTGAAATCCTGACTTCATTAAAGTCAGTGGCAAAGTCTCCATTGATTTTAGTGATGCCAGAATTTATCCCAATTTGTTCAATAACTTTCAGGATTACATTTTATTTAAATTAGAGTTTTCCAGTACCAATTCTTTTCTAAGATTCAATTTTTTTAAATGGTTGAATGAGCTTGTGTTTTCATTTAATGGCTACACTGTGGTATGACAAAATTAAAGTTATAAGTAGAAAGCTATCTGTATCCATCGTCATCAAGTATAGTAACTACATTTGTGTAGTAAGAATAATGAGGGATATGGTAATATCTAGGGGTATGTCTACATTACAGAGTTTTGTCGGAAAAACGGCTGTTTTTCTGACAACCTGAGTTATGTCCACACTACAATTGCGTTCTTCCGAAAGTAAATCGAAAGAACAGAGGGGTTTTTCCAGAGCTGGTAATCATCTTTCTACGAGGAAGAAGCCTTTTTCCGAAAGAGCTCTTTCAGAAAAAGATGTGTGGGGATGGGGAAGAGAGGGAGTTCTTTCGCAAGAAGAGGAAAGAAGAAAAAGCACAGGTGTACTGGTGGCTATTCCACCCATAGTAATCACAGCTTACATGCGAGATAGCGTCCATTCAACGTGGACGCTATCTGTCGAAAAAGCCATCTTCGTTTTCGATGTGCTTTCGCAGTGTGGACGCTCTCTTTCAGGAGAAGTTTTTTCAGAAGATCTCTTCCGGAAAAGCTTCTTGTGAAATAAGCCTGCAGTCTAGACGTAGCCTAGATCAGTGTTTCCCAATTGGTGCTCCGCGGAACCCTGGGGTTCCGCAAAGCACAACGAGGGGTTCCACGAGGAGCCAGCGCTCTCCCGCCGCCTCTGAAAAAGAGAGAGAGAGAGCCAGCTAGCCAGCAGAGGCATGAGCGGCGAGTTGTGTGGGCTCGTGGTGCCCATGCTCCTGCGATAGCTGGAGCTGGTCCCGACCCCGTGCGCGTCCTCCCAGCCCGGCCCCAGAGCATCTCTCCCCCGTCCCTGGACCCGGACACGTCCCTGCCGTGCGCGACCTTCCCTGAGCTCCTCCTGGCTGGCTGCTGCTGCCCTGCGCAGCACGCTCAAACCAGCGGGTGGACAGATGCCCAGACGTGACATAACGTCACAGCCCGGGATTTTAAACTTGCTGGGCGCTGTGATGCGCCACATGGCTGAGTTGCGGGTTCGGAGTCCGGGGATAGAGCACAGATTTTGGCCCCACAAAGTGGAAGGCAGAAGGTACGGGAGAGGAAAAGGGAGGGGGAGGGAAGGGAAGGGGCTTCTGCAGAGGGAAAGGGGAAGGGCTGGGAGAGGAAGGAGCTTGTGTGGAGGGGAAGGGGAAGGCACCCCGGGAGCACCGCAGATTGGCCGCCCGCGCTCTGGGCACTGGGGGGGGAGGGCTCTGGCCCCGGGCGCGCGGCGCTTGGGGGGAGGCGCCGGCCCTGGGCACGCAGCGCTTGGGGGGGGGGCGTCGGCCCCGGGCACGCAAGTGTCCCCGCCCTCTGGTGCCCGGCGGGGGGACGGCCACCCCCCCCCGCGCCCAGCAACCTCCAATGGTTGGGGACCACTGTTATAGACTAACAAAGCATGTAGGCTGTGTCTACATTGGCAAGATTTTGGGCAAAAGCAGGTGCTTTTGCGCAGAAACTTGCTGCCTGTCTACACTGGTCGGGAGTTCTTGCGCAAAAACACTGACGTTCTAATGTATGAAATCAGGGCTTCTTGCGCAAGAACTATGATGCTTCCGCTCAGGAATAAGCCCTTTTGCACAGCTCTTCTTGCGCAAGAGGCCAGTGTAGACAGGCAATATGAAGTTCTTGCGCAAGAGAGCGTCTACACTGACACGGATGCTTTTGCACAAAAGCACATCTCTTGTGCAAAAGCACATGCCAGTGTGGATGCTCTCTTGTGCACGTGCTTTAACGCAAAAACTCTTGCGTTAAAAGTATTGGCGCAAAATCATGCCAGTGTAGATGTAGCCGTAGATGGGATCATGAGCTTTCGTGGGCACAGCCCACTTCTTCAGATGACCAGCTCTGTCCTAGGAGCAAACATTTGAAATACAGGGACAGAGCCAACACTCACAATGTCAAACAAAAATGACACATGCACACAGATAGCATAATCATATTCAGCAAATCATAACCTTTCCATAGATATCTTACGAAGAGCTAGATAAATTCATGGCGGTTAGGTCCATCAATGGCTATTTAGCCAGGATAGATAGGAATGGTGTCCCTAGCTTCTCTTTGTCTGGAAGTGGGAGACAGAGGTGGGGGGAGAGATCACGTGAGGATTACCTGTTGTGTTCCCTCCCTCTGGGGCATCTGGTGTTGGTCACTGTGGGCAGACAGGACACTGAGCTAGATGGACCTTTGGTCTGACCCAGTCTGGCCGTTCTTATGTTCTTATATACATGCCACATTTTGTACAAAATTTGTGGCAAATATATAACAATGAACTACATTGGGATGGGCAACAATTTTTGACAGGGGGGCCACTCCAAGATTTTGGAGAGTGGTCGAGGGCCGCACTCTCCCATGATATTAATGGAGGAGGTGCGGGGTCTGGGATGAATGTTGGGTGCAGAAGGCAGCTTGGAGTAAGGGACTGGGGTGCAGGAGGGAGACTGGAGTCTGGGAGGGAGTTTGGGTGAAGGAGGTGTTTGTGACCTAGGGCAGGGGACTGGAGTGCAGGGGTCTGGGACGTGTGAAGTGTGAATTGTGAATTGAGTCTGACTGCATTGCCTTCCCCAAATTGCCTACACTACCCAGCGGAAGCCCCAGAGTACACGGGCGGCAGGACTGCGAGGTCCCGCAGTCCGTGTACTCTGGGGCAGCCCCGTTCGTAACTGCGGATCCGACGTAAGTTGGGTCCGCGTAAGTCGGGGACTGCTTGTATATAAAATATTGTGTGCCCATTATCTGACATCTTTGACAAGTTGGTAAACGGATTTTAAGTCTAAAGGTTGGCCTAAACACAGAATTTCAGCAGTTTAATTCAGGGTTTGAGGCTTTCATAAACTGATTTAATTAAATGAGGGTGGCAGGCTGTGTGGCTGCTCGTATTTTGGTTTTAACGAGGCTTATTTCAGTTTACGTGTAAAATATTGTGTGCCCATTATCTGACATCTTTGACAAGTTGGTAAACGGATTTTAAGTCTAAAGGTTGGCCTAAACACAGAATTTCAGCAGTTTAATTCAGGGTTTGAGGCTTTCATAAACTGATTTAATTAAATGAGGGTGGCAGGCTGTGTGGCTGCTCGTATTTTGGTTTTAACGAGGCTTATTTCAGTTTACGTGAAATCAATTAGGAACAGATTTCAGATGGATAATATCTCATTATCAGTATATGGGCTCAAAAATTTGTATTGGAAATTAAATAGGAACTACATATGCTACTTCAGATAAGATTGTGTTTTATTTGATTTTTTTTAAAGCAAATATAAATGTCTTATGCCCCATGGTGGCGTATTTAAAGTATCAAAAACCCATTGCAAATTATTATTACACGTGTAAGATTTATCATATGAATGGTGTCAAATTAGTCTTGTGTTTGCATGCTTTGTGCATGGAGTATGCATACGTGCAAGTACAAAAAAGTAATTTCCAAACAACTCTGTTTTCCTTTAGGTTATAATAGTCTTCCTCAGTTTGTCCTGCTGATGTTTACATTCCTTAACCATTTTTATGGCAGAGTGCATGTATTAAGTTGAACAACTGCAATTAAAAGTTACTTTGCAAATACGATTTGAGAAGATCTTAATTGGTGTCCATTTAAAAAAAAAAAGTGTGTCTCTAGAGGAAAAATATTTTCGGGATCAACTTCATAAGTTGCAGTAGGATTTATTGTGTTTTAAACATCGATTCTTAGGCCCTGATCCTGCAAACATTTACATATGTAAGTTGAGTAACTAAGCATGTGCAAAATATTACTGAGTGTGCATAAATGCTTGCAGAATGAGGACAGTGGACTATATGCTCTTTGGGGCGCACATCTAAGTTTATATCTCAGTCTTGTGTGTATACAATGTCTAACAACTGGGAACTCAGTACTGAATGGGACCTGGCAAGAAACACTTGAAATATATAATAATCTGTTCTTATATGAAAAACACGCTGGGAGTGCTTGTGGGAATAAGGGTTACAAGAATGTTTTCCCACCCACTAAGTTGCAAGTGCTTTTGTATGTATGGTATTTGGAGTACTTCAGGCATGGACTTACTACCTCAGTAACTTGTTGGCAGTGCTCTCCATCATTGTCCACAGTGACGTTTGTTGTCCCTCAGATTGAAGCTTTCCACATACTGTATTTACTGTTTGCCTCTGCACGATTCCATTGCATAGCCATCTAAACCACTGTCACCAACCACGTAATTGTTGGATGCTATAGAATTCTACAACATAAACAATCATAACCATAAACCTGCATGTTCACCTCTAAAACCCGTTAATGGTCTAAAAATTAAACATTGCTCTCTTGTGCTCTTTATGCTATACATTGGGACAGAGGTCAGAACTGCAACAGGTAAGGCATGTTGGTATTTCATGGTGATAAAATGAAATGCCAACCATTCAGACACACTAAATAGTGAAGGCATTGGCCAAACTAACAGTAATTAAATATTAAATGTGTGTGTAAGCAGTGTTAAGTTTTGACAGACATTGACAAGACTAGCGCTGCACTCTTCACACGTTTAATTAGGGGTTCTTGTCTTGCAAGTTACTTGGTGCTGACCCAGTGGTCCACCCATGTGCTAATGGCTTGCAAAATCAGGACCAGGGCTGGATTAAGGCACAGGGAAAATTGGTGAGGTCCTAGCACCATTGAAATTAATGGTAAAACTTCCCTTGGCATCAATAAGGCAGGATTTCACTGCATAGGTCTGCGTTTAGAGTCCCATTTCCCAGAGTCATGTGAGTTTTACATCAGTATCTAAGATTCATGGGTTTCATATAAAAAAGCCTTTGTAGTTGCAATTAAAAGCTTGGAAACATGAATTAAAAATAAGCAGTACAGGAATGTCTGAGTGCGCAATACCTCTGAGAAGTATGAATGGCCTTATTCATCTCAATGGGGCATTGACTCCCAGATCCATTGGACTGAGAGACAGTTGCAACACCATCCAGGCAGAAGATCATGTGTAGCTGGAGAATGAGTGTGGAGGTAGTCTCACCCACCTTCTCACCCACCTATCCAAGTAGATACTCACTGACTGCTGGGTAAGTATTGTGAGGTCTTCTGGTGCCATTCCTTCTTTGGTAGCGAGGAGAGGGTACTCCAGCCACTACCACTCCTAGTGGGATGGATGGGGCTATAACATGGGCATTGAGTAGTAGTAGCAGATGGAGCTGCAAAAAGTGCATATTTTTCATGTTTCATAACTGCCAGAGACACAAGGTGGATGAGGTAATATCTTTTACTGGACCAGCTTTTGCCATTCAGTACTTAAGAAAGTCACGTCTATTAGCTTCCATCTGCTTCTAAGAGTCATCTGTTTGAAAATGGACACTGCAGTGGCAAATGAACCCTTTTTGCAAAAGATAACAACTGATACTATAGTTTACAAATTGTTTTTTTGTATGTCTTAATGCTTTGTTTTTAAAGATCCAAGAAAACATTCATGGCCAAAATCTAGGGGAAGCTACTGCCACTTTTTATTATACAAGGAGAACAAGGATACGATGGATGCTATTAATGTATTATCCAAATTTTTAAGGTAGGAATATTATTTTATTGCTTTGAGAGAGAACAAAAAATATTTGGGGATAATGTAAATGTTCTGCTTTGAAATCTTCGTGCCAAAGCCATGCAGGAAATGTATTATCACAGTATATCTAGTATTAGAAGGTTAGTCTGAATCTGCAAAAGTGATGAGTCCTATGGCACCTTATAGACTAACAGATTTATTGGAGCATAAGCTTTTGTGGGCAAAGACCCACTTCGTCAGATGCATCTGATGAAGTGGGTCTTTGCCCACGAAAGCTTACGCTCCAACACTTCGGTTAGTCTATAAGGTGCCACAGGACTCCTCGTCGCTTTTACAGTATATCTAGTAATGTAGCAGAATATTTTTCTTTTACAAGGTCAAACTTGAAATGCTCTGCTACATTTGGAAAAATGTAGGAAAATCGTTCTAAACAATCAAAAATTATATACTGTCAGACCTGGTTTTTACTGGGGGAATGATGTGTGTTTGACCTTCTAATTTGCATGAAGACTACAAACTGCCTTCTCTTCATTAGGACTTTACCTTGAATTGGTGCGTTTTTAACTGAAGTGAAGTATGTGCCTTATTCTCAGGGCTTATTTATACTTGAAACAGCACAGCGGTGCTGCAGCTTTGTGCTGTGGCACTTGAGTGTAGGTACTGCCTAGCCCAACAGCAACTCTGGTGTAAGTGATCTGTTTTCCTGAGAGGCATTAGCGAGGTTGAAGGAACAGTTGTTCTATCAGACTAGTGTGCTCTATTCCAGGGTTACATCAGCCTAATTACATTGCTCAGGGGAGTGGACTTCTCACACCCCTGGGTGATGTTGCTAAAAAGTTAGTTACAGGCCCTGGTGAAGACACGGGCATGCAGCATGACAGTGTGCAGTTGTACAAACATATAGTGGGTGCACGTAAGTGTTGTTGTGGTTGTTCATATACAAATCGGTTCATTTAGCCGTTGTGTGTGGGGCAGTTCAGATTATAGTAGCATGTGAATTTAAAAACAATACCTCCATATCTAGTAAACAAGCTGTCACTGATGTTTGTGTATTTTCTCTTTTCTTCCCCTCTAATCAATGGCACTCTACTCACTAGCTGTTTAAGTGAGAGTTCACAATCCAAGCTTCTGTTTGGCTCTGAGAATCAGCACTGCAGTGCTGAAAGCGATACTTGCATTTGAAAGCCCGGGTGCTTGGGAAACATGCTATTCTAGCAGTCCATATAGCGCTTGTTAGAGAACATCCATATAGCGGCAATAGTATACATACATATTGGGATAGCGGGGTATCTACTGATAGCAATAATTCCTCTCATGTTGGGGAAAGCGGGGTATCTACTGATAGCAATATTTCCTCTCATGTTGGGGATAGTGGGGTATCTACTGATAGCAATATTTCCTCTCATGTTGCATAGAATACAAAGGAAAATGACAATGTTGAGAGGGAAAGAAACAGAACAATATTGAAATGCATCCATTATGTGCTTCCATGAGTATGTGTTCAGTATTCAAATAGCTGCATGTGGAGATAAATGCACTATTTGAATTTCAAACAGAAAAATAGGCATGCACTGAGGGTTTTTTAATAGTTATTGATTGTTGTACATTATTACATTGAATTTGTTTACTGTATACATATGCGCAGGCGCGTGCACACGCACATAGAAGAAGCAAAATATTCAAAGTAACGGTGACCATAACTATCATAAAGGAGTCCTCTTGCCTATAGACAGTAAAGTAGAACCTCAGAATTATGAACACCAGAGTTTCAAACTGACAAGTCAACCATACACTTTATTTGGAACCAGAAGTTCATAATCAGGCACCAGAGACAAAAAAAAAAAGCAAATACTCTTTAGTACAGTACTGTGTATAAACATATGGGACTAAACAAAACTAAGGCAAAGGTTGTTGTTTTTTTTTTTTAAATAAAAGAGATTTGACAAGATAAGGAAACTTTCTATCATCGTTTAAATTGAAATGGTTAAAAGCATCATTTTTCTTTTGTATAGTAAAGTTTCAAAGCTGTGTTAAGTCAGTTTATAGATATTTGAAAAAACAAACAATTTTTTGTTCAGAGTTACAGACATTTCAGTGTTAAGAATAACCTCCATTCCCGAGGTGTTTGGGATTCTGAGATTCTACTGTATTTGCTAACAAAATATATGGTAATTTTTATGGTGCATTAATTTAGGTTTTTTGTATGTAATATGCTAGTGAGATTACAATTTCTCTTTGACCTAAATGGATGGGGTTTGGGTCTTTTTCAGTGTCAAATCTGATATGTTCATCACTATTTTGTTGTTGTTTTTTGTTTTTAAGAGTTAAGCCAAATATATTTTCATATATGGGGACCAAAGATAAAAGAGCTATTACAGTTCAAGAGATTGCTGTTCTTAGGTAAGTATAAATATATTGCAAGTAAGTTCTTATAACAAGATAACTTGACTGTCTTAATAAGCACATTTAAGGCTCTTGTATAACATTTAATCCTCATAAAACATGTTGATTTATTAAATATAATATGTGCACTCTTTGTTTTGTTCATTCATAAATATCAGGAACTTCGTTTCTGAGAAGTTCGCTTTTCATGGGGAAAACACTATTGAATATCAAACAGAAGTTGCTAAGTCAGAGTCCAATTCAATGATGAACTTAAGCACATGCTCTACTGCTTTGCTAAATTTGGATCATCTTTTTTTTCTATATATAAAAAAGTTTTCCCTGACACGTGACAGAATGATGTAATCAGGCTCCCTGGCCATAAAAGCCACCAGAGAGATGGGGTTTGGCGAGTGTAAGAAGCACGTGGCACAGCCCCCTAATAGTTACAAAATATTAATGTTATAGACACTATGAAACTCTCTTTATTTCAAAAAGTTATCTAGTAAGTGTTCATCTTGGAAAACCAGAGGTACTCACACTACAGCGTCTGTCATATGTAGGTTCCATGAAGTCCATTGAACATAGGAACAGCCATACTGGGTCAGACCAAAGGTCCATCTAGCCCTGTATCCTATCTTCCAACAGTGGCCAATAGCAGGTGTCCCAGAGGGAGTGAACAGTATTGGTAATCATCACAATTCCTCTCATGTCATATATTCCCAGCCTCTGACAAACAGAGGCTAGGAACACCTTTCCTACCTATCCTAGCTAATAGCCATCGGTGGACCTAACCTCCATGAATTTATCTAGCTCTTTTTTGAACTCTGTTAAAGTCCTAGCCGTCACCACATCCTCTGGCAAGGAGTTCCACAGGTTGACTATGTACTGTGAGAAGAAAAACTTCCTTTTGTTTGTTTTAAACCTGCTACCTATTAATTTCGTTTGGTGATCCCTAGTTTTTAGGTTATGGGAACAAGTAAATAACTTTTCCTTATTTAACTTTCTCTGCCCCAGTCATGATTTTATAGACCTCTATCATGCCCCTTCCCTTAGTCTCCTCCTTTCTAAACTGAAAAGTGCTAGTCTTTTTAATCTCTCTTCAAATGGGACTCATTCCAAACCCTTAATAATTATTGTTGCTCTTTTCTGAATCTTTTCCAATGCCAATATATCTTTTTTGAGATGAGGCTACCACATCTGTACATAGTATTCAAGATGTGGGCATGCCATGGTTTTATAGAAGCAATAAAATATTCTCCGTCTTATTCTCTATTCCTTTTTTAATGATTCCTAACATTCTGTTTGCTTTTTTGACTGCCGCTACACATTGAGTCGATGTTCTCAGAGAACTATCCACAATGACTCCAAGATCTCTCTTGAGTAGTTATAGCTAAAATAGTAGTAAATTGTATGTATAGTTGGGTTTATTTTTTTCCAATGTGCATTACTTTACATTTAACAACATTAAATTTCATTTTCCATTTTGTTGCCCAGTCATTTAGTTTGGTGAGATCTTTTTGAAGCTCTTCACAGACTGCTTTAGTCTACCCCTTTCTCCAGATAATTTATAAATAGGTTGAATAGGATTGGTCCCAGAACAGACTCTTAGGGGACACGGCTAGTTACTTCTCTCCATTCTGGAATGGAGCTGTAGCTGAGCCAAAATTATTCCCATCCTGTATAACCCTTGCAAAGTATCAGAAGGATACTGAATGGTGGTGTGAGATCCACATAGCTGTTGCTAGTGTGATGCACCCTGTTGCTAGGATCACCTCTACTTCCTTCCCTATCCAACTTCCTCTGAGCATTCAGGAAGGAGAACCAGAACTCCCTGCTCCTTTCTCCAAGGAGAATGAATGAATGGGTAGGAACAGCTCCTTCCTTGATTAAATGGCAAACACTTTATTAACACAGAGTTAAGGTTGCTGGTAACAGCTCATGTCCTTCTAGAACAATGAAGTCAGCAGAATTGAAAATCATGAAAGAAAGTGTTAAGGTGTAAATGCTGTGGAACCTTAACTCTGCCCCCTTGGAGATGGGAATAGTGACTGGAAATTTCTGTGACATGGAGCCACAGCTACATTGAATGGTGGAAGAAGTAGTGGGGGAGTTTGTTCTGTGATATCAGGAGATCTGGGTCTGACTGAGCTTCTCCCCTCTTTTCTTGGAGTGTTATCAAAGGAAAAAGGCTTGTTTGTACCTGGGACTTCAGTCTGCATCATTTCAATACAGAATTGCATAAGTGGTGTTAGTAGCAGGGTATTGAAGTCTGTTTGCCATAAGTATTTCCAGTACTGAGGTAGGATATGAGAACAACCTGTGAATTTAATGATGAGTAGGGGAAAGATTTGGTTGGTATCCTGTGCGAAAGTTTTGTAAAGAGTAAGTGTGGTATTCTTGTGGGAGAGTAGACTCTCTGTTTGAGGTTAGGGCTCATGTAAGTAGTATTGTCCATTACAGTGAAAAGTCAGAGTGTAGGTTATGTCTGTTGTGGGTGTTTTGGGACAATGCTCATAGGACAGCGTTAAGGTTACATGGGCATTTACTTAACTATGTATTTGATGGCCTTCAGAAGGTTGAGGTTGACTGGATTCATGTTTTGGGAGGGCATGCGTTATCTCAGGCAACCTTAACTCTGCATTAACAACATGTTTTTGTTTGGGTATTGTCTGGGGTTTTTACCATTTTAATTTGCTCTTTGTTTAAAAATAAAAGAGAAGTGTTTGTTGGTAGTTAATGGTTATTTAGATAGCTGTAGTGTAGATGTCGTTGTGAGAACTATATCATTTTCAGCAGGGCAACTGCACCACTGCAGCACTTCTAGTGAAAATGCTGTGTTGATGTGAGAGAATTCTTAGCTGAATAATTCCTGCCTCTGTGAGAGGTGGTAGCTCTATTGGTGCATGAAACTGTCTACACTGGTGCTTAGGTCAATATAACTTAGGTTGCTAAAGGATGTGGATTATTATACCCCTGAGCAATGTAAATCACACCAAAGTAATTTGTACTGTAGTGCACCTAGGTTTATATACTACTGTGACAAGGTAATAAGCAGAAGAACCTAGCTTTTAACATAGTGCTTCTCATAGGTGGATCTCAAAGAGCTTTACATCATCCCCATGTTACAGTTGGAAAGATGATGTACAGAGCATCAAAGTGACTTGCCCAATGTCACCAGAAGGCCAGTGACTGAGCTAGAAATAACCCAGTTCAGTGGCTTTGCTAGACTGCACAGTTGCTGTGTGATTCCTCAGTGCTTCCCCTCCATACATATTGTTGTAGTGGATTGGGTAAAATAGTTATAACATGTAGTTGCTAAAAGGACCAGTGAGAGAAATCTTATCCTTGAGCTGTGTCCCAAATGTTTTATTTTTTGGTGGTTACCATAACTTCATTTGTGTGAAAGAAGACTGGTGTGTTTCTCTCCTTCTCCACTCTTGCCTCACCATTCCCTCTAACCTGTAGTGTGCCCCCCTATTTTCATGCAAGAAAGTCAATAATACATAAGACGGTTCTCATTCCGGTCATCTTTCCTGTGCTGCTGCAGATGTATGGCCCATGCAGCTTATTGGAAAGCCATGAGCTACTTCGGTTATGTAGCCTGAGCTGCACACTGAACTGGGGCCCCCTTTCCTACTACCCAGTCCAGGTGGGACTTTGAGCTGTCCCTATTTCAGCCAGATGTTACTGGAAACCCTTCTCCTCTATTCCAATGGGGTGATATGAACCTTAACTATTCATTTCTGGATCTGTGTTATTTTCAGGTGTCCCCTCCCAATCACAGCTTACTTGGTGAGCAGAAAGCCTGAGAGAGAAAGGTCCCTCAAATCCCAGAATAAACAGCAGGCAGGAAGAAGGGTTCAGACCCAGTAGATTGGGTAGGGCTCCAATGCACCTACACAGAAGGGGGTAATTTGGAGTTGACAGGCCTCTACCCCCCCATTTCCTCTGTTTTCCTTCATATACGTTGTCCAACCGCTTTCATCCTATCTCCTCTTACCTTTTCACCTGAGTCCTTTACCCCTCCTTCCTCTCATTCATTCCCATTGATCTGCTTTCCCATACCTTCAGAAATAGTTTGGGCATGTTCTGAATTATCTGCTGTACTCAGATTACATTTTCCTCCCAAAAAGCAAACCAAATCAAAGCAAACCAAATCTGTGTTGCTCAAGGCAGATTTCCCCCAAATGTTTACATTTCATTCTTTGCTTCTACCCAGTGTAGATTTTTAAGTTGATAGTATCTGTGAACCTTATGAAATGCTGGGGGGCTTTTTTGGGGGGGAGGGAAGAGATGAATCTCAGGGACTCTTTTTGCAAATTATTTGGATCACAAACAATACCCTATAGTCCCATGACATATTTCAGATTTCAAGACATAATCTTTGTAAGGATATAGATTTAAGAACACTTACAAGAGTCATCCATCACACAGAAAGATCATAACCACAGCAGAGCTGGTGTTCTGTTGTAATGGTTTGTGAAATTAGAGGGAAGTTGGAAGGAAGAGGCTCTTCGCATCTATATTATAGATGCAAGGCTCTGAACTGTGTGAACTGCTCCAGTCTTGGCAGCGGGGAGATCCCATCCTTCCTCTTCTGTGTGGGAGAGCTTGTGAGTGCAGCAAGCCTGCCTGTTAACTCTTCCTCCAGATCTCAGTGGTGTTTTCTTGGTGCATGTAAGCTCAAGCATGTTTGCTCTCTGCTGCCTTTCCCACATAGAGGGACAGGCCTGCCCCAGATCATGGCTCACATGGTGGGGCAGGGAGATGGGCTCCCAAGGAAAAAAGGTCTGTCAGATCCGAATTCACGTGGGGGGGTAGGGAAAAGGGCTCAGACACCTCTAGAGGCATATCAGAAGCTCTCTGATATCTGCTGACATGAGGAGAGGCATGGAGGGATCGAGTGGGGTCAGACTCCTATAAACAAGCAGAGGCTCCCTATATCCTAACATGTACGTAGGGAGCAGGGAAAGGAGCTTAGGGTATGTCTACACTACCCCGCTAGTTCGAACTAG